CTTAGGAATACATGAAGTATTAGGTAAAGGGGCATGATTATGCAACCTATAGTCAGATGGTTCTAAACATAAATTTTATGTGTGTATGTGTGTGTTTGTTTCAATGATGAAACAAACATAGCAAATTATAAAAACTGATGAATTTGGGTCAAAGTGATGTACTCTTTGTAAAAAGTTACTCTTTTGTAACTTTTTTTGTAAGTTTGAGATTATTTCGAAATAAAAATGAAAAACAAGTCATTTTCTCAGCAAAGTGTTCCCACTAACCAAGGTCTGTTTCACCCCCGACTCCCCCAACCCTTGCCCACACAAAACCACCCCCTTCAGAAGTGCTAGTAAGCCCCACTCTAGACCTGCTAAGTCAAAAATCTCATGGGACGGGGCCCAGGGAGCTGTGTTTTAAGATGGTTCTTACACTAAAGTTTGAGAAGCCCTGGTTTAGACCAGTGAGGACCCATGCTCGGAGTTGGGGGGTGGAGTTAACCCCATTCAGGCTGTTAGACATGGGGGAAAAGTGGACGGCTCTCTGGGATCTACCTCACAACAGCAGCTGAGGATGACTATGAGATTGTCCTTCTACATTCTTCCCTATAATCATCATCTACTCTTCTTCCAGCCTGAACCTACAGGCAAGTCACAGCATTTTTTTTTAGTTCAAAATTTCACAGCATGCCGTATAAATGACTAAGGTATATTTGCTAGGGAGCAAATCCACAGAACTCTCCACCATGAATATGGAGATGGGGATTCAGTAGGAAGGAGAACTTTGCCCTGGCAGTATCTGGGAAGCTTCACTGGGGAAATGGAGCTTGGGCATGTAGAAGCAGGAGAAGGAAAGGAGGAAGGGCAATTTCTGGCAGAGGGACCATCACACTCAAAAGCATGGAGACTAAAATTGTCAGATTATATGTGGGAAGTCTGGCTTTCCACGAGGATATGAGGAGTGGAAGAGTAGAAACTATGGATATCAAAGGAGGAGACCAGGTCATAGTCAGTGTGGAATGCTAGGACATGGTGGTGGAAATCCATTTAGATGGACTGATGTTCACAATATCTAATATTCACACTAGCAGGTTAAAGACTTTGAACTTTCTTCTGCAAACAGGGGGGTGTCATTGTAAGTCTGAACAGTTTTGATCAGATCAACTTTGTAAGGAGACTTCTGGCTTGCTTTGAGGATGGTGAGTGGGGGAGACTGGAAGGGTGGAGACCAGAGCAAGGATAGTGGAGAAGGTAAAGAGGAGACATTCTTGAGATAAAAGAAAGAAATAGGTAGAGGAAAGAATAAAGAGTGACTCTAAGACTTTGTGCCTGGATTCTTACGAGGTTGCTGATGCTACATGATGACAAAAGTGATTTTCATTGGAAGATGGGACATTTTTGAGTTTGTGTAGTCAGACGATTAGTGAGGAATTAAGTAATGTGTTTTACCCCACCTACAGCTTCACTGAATTCTTTTTATTTTAAAAAAATTTTATTTATTTATTTTTAAAAGTCTCTCTCTTTTTTTTTTCTTGGACCATTTTAAAAGTCTTTATTGAACTCGTTACAATATTGCTTCTGTTTTATGTTTTGGTTTTTTGGCCAAGAGGCATGTGGGATCTTAGTTCCCTGACCAGGGATTGAACCTGCATCCCCTGCATTGAAAGGTGAAGTCTTAACCACTGGACCACAAGGGAAGTCCCTGAATTCTTTTTAGTTGTAACCTAGCACACTTTCCCCCTTCTCGGCAGCTAGGTATGAGGCTACCCTTGCTTGAAGTAGGTGTCAGGTGGAACCAAGAACACATAGGTCAAGTTAAAGGGAAGTATATGCTGAACAGAGGTGTAAGTTTGAAGAATACTTTCTCATCACCCCAAAAAGAAACCCTGTGTCCTTTACTTACCCACTACAGGCCCTAGGTAACCACTACTTAACTTTTTATCTACATGGATTTGCCTATTCTGGACATTTTATGTGAATGGAATCATATGTGATCTTTTCTGACTGGTTTCTTTTACTTAGTATAATGTTTTCAAGGTTCATCTATGCTGCAGCATGAATCAATAGTTCATTCCTTTTTATGACCAAGTAATATTCCACTATGTATTTATCCATTCATCAGTTGATGGACATTGGCTACTATGAATAAAGCTACTATGAACATTTTTGTACAAGTTTTCCTGTATACATATGTTTTCATTTCTCTTGGATATATACAAGAGATGGAATTGCTGGGTCAAATGGCAAGTCTACATTCACCTTGTTCAGGGACTGCCAAACTCTTTTCGAAAGTGTTGTACAATTTTACATTTCTACCAGCAGTAGAGGGTTCCAGTTTTCCCATATCTTTGTCAGCACTTGTTATTATCTGTCATTTTTATTGTAGCCATCCCAGTGGATGTGAAATGAAATCTCATTGTTGTATTAATTTGTGTTTCCTTGATGATTAATGATGTTGAGCATCTTTTTGCGTGCTTATTGGCCATTTGTATATCTTCTTTGGAGAAATGACTATTCACATCCTTTACTCATTTAAAAAGTTATTTGTCTTCTTATTGTTGAGTTGTAAGAGTTTTTCAAAAATATTCTAGATACAAGTTACTTATCAGATACATGATTTGCAAATATTCCCTCCCATTCTGTATATTGTATTTTCACTTTTTTTATAGTGTCCTTTGAAGCACAAAAGTTTTAAACTTTGGTGAAGTCAAATTTATCTATCTTTTTTTTGTTGCTTATGGCTTTGGTGTCATATTTAAGAGACCATTGCTAAATTCAATATTATGAACACTTACCTCTATGTTTTCTTATAAAAGTTTTATATTTAGGTCTTCGGTCCATTTTGAGTTAATTTTTGTACATGGTGTGAGGCCAAACTAGTTTTTGATAATTTAATCTGTTTTAAGTGCCCATCTCTACTGATGGCAAACTTAACCTGGCCAGTTCTGGATAAATTCAGTAACTTCAGGTTTTCTCAGTCATTGCAGCTTTAGTCTCAGTAAATTCAGGACTCTCCCTTTTCCTTCATTCTCCTCTCATGTGGGATTTAGCTAAATCACAGTGGGTTAATGGTACTTATTGACAGGTAGTGTAGAGTGAGTTAGAATTAGGATTAGGTGTAAATGGGGAGGTCTGTGTCCCACGATTAGCTTCAGAGAGAAGATAATGATAGAACATGAAGAAAGTTTGGGGATCTGAGATTAGGGTGAACATGCATCCCAATTGAAATATGGTTACTCTTGGAGGGAGCAAGCTTCACAGAGGTCCTGAGACTCCACAAAGATGTTGCACTAGGTGATTTTTTCCCCCCCACTCACTCAACATACATTTATTAATAGGCACATGATAGTGCCAAGAACTCTTTTATAGAGTGGAATAAAGCAGTGATGAAAACACACAAATTCTCTGCCATCATGGAACCTATATTCTACTGGGAGGAGACAGGACAAATAAATAAGCAAATAAATATATAACATGCTATGATAAAAAAAAAAAAACTAAGAAAAATAAATAGAGGGACTTCCCTGGGGGCTCAGTGGTTAAGAATCTGCCTGCCAATGCAGGGAACATGGGTTCGATCCCTGGTCCAGGAAGATCCCACATGATGAGAAGCAACTAAGCCTGTGTGCCGCAACTATTTAGCCTGTGCTCTAGAGCCCGCGAGGCACAACTACTGAGCCCGCGTGCCACAACTACCCAAGCCCGCGTGCCTAGAGCCCATGCTCCGCAAGTCGCTGCAACTAGAGAGAGCCGCGTGCAGCAACAAAGACCCAACGCAGCCAAACATAAATAAATAAATAAATTTATTAAAAAAAAAAGAAAAATAGAGTAGGGAGATAGCAAATGGGGCTGACAGTATTTTATATAGCGTCGTCAGGGAAGGCCTCATGACAGGGTGACATCAGAGCAGAGATCTGAAGCAAGAGAGGGACTGAGCCTTGCAGATACACATGGGAAGAACATGCCCGGCAGAGGGAACAGTAAGTTAAGTGCCCTCAACAGGGAGCAGGCTTGGCATATATGAGGGCGAGCAAGGAGGCCAAGGTGGTTGGAATGAGAAGGTCAAGTCAGTTGCAGGAGATGAAGTCAGAGGGGCAGTGGGGGGCTCTGAGAACAGTGGTGCAGGTGCGTACTGCTCACTGCTCACTAACGTGTAAGTGCCACTCACACATGCGTACCTGCACAGACGTACTACAATACGTCGGCTCAGGGGGCACATTAAGTAGGGCCATACAGGCCATGGAAGTGACTTCAGAATTCATTCTGAGATGGGAAGTCGTTGCAGTGTTTTGAGCAGAGACTTGATCTAACTTCTATTTTAACAGCAAATGTCTCGCTTCTTGGTTGAGAATAGATCATAAAGGTGCAAAGGTGGAAGTGGGGAGATCAGTGAGGAGTCTGTTACGACCCAGGAGAGAGATGATGGAAGCATGGACCAGGGTGGTAGGATGTTGTTTATACTGTGAAGGTAGAGCTGACAGGATTTGCTGACGGACTGAATGTGGGGTGTGAGAGAGGAGTCAGAAACGATTCCAAGGGCTTCCCTGGTGGCGCAGTGGTTAAGAGTCCGCCTGCCGATGCAGGGGATACGGGTTCGTGCCCCGGTCCGGGAAGATCCCACATGCCAGAACGGCTGGGCCCGTGAGCCATGGCCGCTGAGCCTGCGCGTCCGGAGCCTGTGCTCCGCAATGGGAGAGGCCACGACAGTGAGAGGCCCGCATACTGCAAAAACAAACAAACAAACAAAAAACGATTCCAAGGTTTCTGAGCTGAGCAAATAAAGGCAGAGTTGCCAGAATAGGTAAGGCTGGGAAGACTCTTTTAAGGAGGCTTGGCTGCCATGGAAGGAGAGCTTAAACCTTTGGTGGTTGGCTGACTATCTTTGCCATGTTAATGCAGCAGTGTGACCAGATCCAGGCCTCAGACTATATAGGACACCTCAGTGGGTGATGACTTGTGAGGACGGGGTGAGGAGGAAGAAACCCATTGGTCTTGGGTATGTGGTTTGAAGTTTGTACCTGTTCATTAGCATAAACAATCACCCACTTGTTTTGTAATGTCTTGTTCACTGATAGTTTGTACCTAGAGGAAACAAAGAAAAACATTCATGACTTTGGCTAATAATTGTGGAGCATCCCTTTGGATGTATGGTACAGGACTGTGCAACATGGGAAACCATAGAATGTAATCCATAGATCTCTTGGATAAACAGAAACCTCCATTTTCAGGGTCTTCATCACGCTCCATCTCAAGCTTTTAAATAGCTCGTCCAATGTCTTGGAGGCTCCCAACAGTAATATCATGTATCATGTAGACAGAAGAGGGCTTGTATCATGTAACAGGCATTTCTAAGTTGCTAAGTAACCATTTCCAAAGGAGAACCCAGAAGTAAAGAGAGATCTGTCAGCTGCATGGTAGGACAATGACTGGGTCCAGTTTATCTCAGTACATTCAGGCTTTGTGCTGGAATTTCCTGGATTCTGGGTCTAACACTTTATTCTCCTCTATCCTGCAGGCTTTCTAAACACAGGTGTCTGAACATTAAGCTTATTCTTTCCTATTCCATTATATGATTATAAGTCTCAACCCAAACCATCTTCAAACTGTAAGACAGCCTCGAACTGTAAATTTACATTTTGGTCAGTTGCACAATTTGGCACACACCTCTGTGCACGCCCTGGGTTCCTCCACCTTTCAGCAAACGTTGCCCTAGGGGGATTACTTAGTTCACAATTCTTTGGGTGGCTAGTGTCATAACTGCTGTCCAAGCCTGCCTTCTCCAGGTCTTCCGGAAGGGTAGGACAAAAGTCTTGTAAAATGATGAGGGTTACAAAAGCAACGGGGAAGGTGTGGAAACGTGTCCCGCTGCCAGTTTCATTTATGACCGTTGGAGCTTTAAGAGTCAGAAGCTTTAAAAGTAAACAAACCAAGACGGTCAATGAGACTGTGACATTGGGCTTCCGGAAGTAGAAAGTTAAACCTGGGCTCCGGGTTAAGAGCAGGGGGCGCGGGATTAAGAGACCAGGAGGCTTAAGAGAAGGTTCACCGCCTATGGTTGGCTAAAAAAATTGCTGGCCCGGCCAAGTGACTTTTACCTCATGTCCACCTGGACATCTGCTGTCGGGTCAAGTTTCACTAACGCCCTATACTCGAGACAAAACCTAAACTACATAGTCCAAATAGAGACAGACCTCCCCCCCTTCCCTCCCTTCCCCCTCCTTCTCCTTTTTATTTTCTTTCTTTATTGTGTATTTTAAAAAATGTTCTACTTTTTCCTTTGCTTCAACACCTTCCTTCCTCTCCCTGTGTCAGCAAATTATCCACCCCACGCACCCACGCCGCTCCGGCTCCTCCTTTTCATCTCCACGGGTATCGCCGGCTCACTCCGCTCCGGTCCCGCGCGCGCGCCCCAGCTCCAATTCTCAATCCTCCCCGCCCCCTTTAAGACAAGGGACTGGGTCTCGGCCCCGCCATCCTTCGCTTTCCCAGGCGGGAACTGTCGCACCCCAAGTCTAGCCTCTCCTGGGCGGCTCTCCGGCGACCGCTTCCCGGTTCGGGGATCCCGCCGCCCCTCCAGCGCCACCCCCGCGTTCGGTCAGCTCGCGCCACTGCTTCCCGGGTGGCCGGGCCCCACCCCCTTACCCTGGTCGCCCCGCCCCGGCCCGGCTCCGCCCCAGGCCGCCGCCGCCTGATTGGCCTCCGCCCTCTCGTCCCCCGGTTCCTCTCCTCCCCTTCGCCCAATGGGCACCACCACCTGGTGCAAAAATTCCCCCGAAGGAACCGAGGGGCTCTGCAAGCACCATCTCTGGCCGGGCTGCGGGGACCGCTGCGGCTGGGCGCGGAGCGGGGAGGGTAGGTGGAGGAGGGGGCGGAGGAGGGAGGAGGAGGAGCAAAAGGTGTTGGAGAGAAAACTTCTAAAAGGAACAGGAAACTTGCCGGGGAGGCGGCGGCGGCTGCGGCTCTCCGGGCGTCCGGGCGGCGCACGTCGCGGGGTGTCCGGAGCTGCAGCGCCGCTCCTGGCGGCTCCCCAGGCGCGGGGCAGGGCTGAGCCTGACACTTGATCCCTCGGGCCGTGCCCGCCGCCGCCGCTCTGGGCGCTACAGGCGGGCGCTCCGTTCCTCTGCCGCGGCGGCTCCCCGGAGAGGGCGGCGAGGGCGCAGAGAAGAGGAGGGACGTATTCTTCGGAGCATGAAGCAGCATGTCCGATAAAATGTCCAGCTTCCTCTACATAGGGGACATCGTGTCCCTGTACGCGGAGGGCTCGGTCAACGGCTTCATCAACACGCTGGGGTAAGCCGGGGCGCGGGCTGGGGAGCGCTGGCGCTAGGGCCCCTAGGAACCCATCCCAGTCCCTCGTGGCGCCGCCGCGTGCCCCGGCGCCCGTTCCCGCCTGGGGTGGCCGGGAGGCAGGGCAGGCTCTGCGCCCGCGGACAGCGCCGTGCGCTCGGCTCGCTCGCTCGCAGGAAGCTGCCCATAGAGGCGAGACTTTCTTTGCTACTTCGTAATCTCAAGCTCAGAGACGCATCTGAAAAGGAGGAAGTGATTCAAAAGCCCGGAGACAGGCCCGGTGAAGAAGTCTTCGTTGGCTTCTCCGTGGGTTGTTTTGATTAAAAAAATTTTTTTTTCCCTGTGAAACAAAATGCCTCCTCTTCCCCATCTTTTCTCGCCACCGCTCTCAAGCCCTTGTCCTTCAGGGCCGGGTTTGTAAGACCAGTCAATAAAAGTCCGTGGCCTTGGATATGAAACTCAGGCGATGTGGCGAGCGGGAGTGTGGCTTTTGCCTGCGGGAGGAGCTCACCGTCCCACTTCGCTGAAGTGATTTCCTTTTGGCCTTGCCAAACGGGGACTCGCCCCGCCTCGGGGGCAGCCTGGGGGCTCCGACGGCCTCCTGGGTTCTAGAACTCACACCTGATTTCTCCCCTCCCCGGGCTTTGGCCCACTGAAATGCTCAACCTCTCCTGGGACTCGGCCAAGTGCAGGGCTCTTGAGATTGGAGTTGATTTACGAATGGGGGAAATAGATATATAAACATAACCGTGTGCTAGATGGTTAAAGAGGACTTCCTTGATTACTAGTATTTTCTCTCTGTCCTGATTGTAAATACCAGCTCGCAGTTTAAACGCACACTGACTGCACTGTATTTTGATGCGTACATTTTTTTGTTGTTGTTACCGCCTGGTCTCAGTAGCTAGACTCCCCAGTCTTAGAGATTTCAGGCTGAGAAACTGGTGTTTCCACTTCGGACTGGTCACTTTTTTCTGCTGTTAGGTTTTAGGGCACATGACTTAACATGCAGTGTCCCCGGACGGTGGCTTTGAGCCATGCCGTTAATGGAGTGGTGTCTACCCCACAGGGGACGTGGACGTCACCAGAACTTCCCCAGTTTCTGTTATTTGTGCATCTCCCTCAATGGGTGAAAGAAGGGAGGTAGATTTAACTTAATCCCTTTAAGATCAATGTTAAGTGAAACTGAAGCATGGAAGAAAAGAATAGCCGTGACAGGTGCTTTTGTGCTGGGTTTGTAAATCATAAGCTGCCATTTGTTTCCCAGAGAGTTCTTAGTACAAGGTCAGTGTTTGGGCTTCCCGCAACGTTTTGCAGATGGACTCTGCTTCACCTCACCCTTCCCCTCTGTAGACTCTCTAGGTGTGTTTAACCTGGTGGTTGATCAGGAAGGGCTTGGGGTCAAATCCCGGCTTCTCTGCCTGTGAACCTTATGACCCTGGGCAAGTCACATAATTGCATCTCAGTTTCCTCACTCATGGTTACTGCCTCGTAGGATTGTGCTGAGGAAGAAGTGAGTTAACATAAGGTGCTTAGCACAGTACGTGGCGTATGAGCACTTGTATTAAGGGTTAGCTGTTGTAATTGTCACTACGTAGGTGGCTGTGAGTGACAGTTACAGTCGTGGACAAAATAATAAAAAGGGTTAGGAATAGAGTATAAAACCTAGTGAAATAAAAAACCATGTTTTGTAGTGTCTCATTCAGCAAAGGTATGTGTTTCGGTCACTACATACTTTAGCAGTTGTGGAGTCTGTCCTGCTCATTTTGGAGATAGAGAAACCTAGGGGAAGAGAAATGAAGGGACTTACCTGTGAAGCAGAGGAAGGACATTAATGCCAAAAGCTGGAACTATAACCCTGTCTCCAGACTTTCAGCCAAGTGTGTGTTTCGTTGGTTACACATCATCTTGAGAAAAAGAAGCTTTCATGTAGCGTATGTTTATATAAAATATTTATTCATAGTCAACATTTCTTGCTGGTGTTTTGGAAGTTGAGTTGCCTTAGAGTGCGTTTGTGCAGTATTATTTTTCCGTTGACAAACTGATCCTTGTTGAGGTTAATATGACGAGACCTCTGTGCAGCTCAGTTCTAAGGTGAGGACGGATCGTTGGAAATGCTGCCGCTGGTGAAGCTTGGTGCTCTGATTAGATATCCTTTTTCTTTAACTCATGGAACTACGTTGGCCTGAGAGTTTTAGTAGTTACAAAGCTGGCAGGAGCCTCTGTTCATGCCACATGAAATGTTGTCTAGGCAAAGTAGCATCACCTACTTTGTTAGCTTAGATGACAACTGGTAGATACTTTACAAGTGTGTTTTAGGACCATGAAATCAAAGCAGCATTATAGTTTTTCATTATACTTTTGTAGGCTCATTATACAGCTTTTCTATCAAAGACAGAGTACATACTTCAAGTTGAATTTCTTTGCTCTTCTATAGTTGGAGGTCAGTTGTCCAAGGTCTGTTGCTAATTATGACCGTGTTCATATCATTTATTCTCTTTTCATGTCAGCATGTCTTTGTGGAGAGTAAGAGAAGGAGTATATGATGTCCCTGCCCCTGGGGTGTTATAAAAGTGAATGAAAGAGACAGAAAGGAAAGAGCCCATTTTTTTTAGAGAGTTGCTAGGAAAATCCACATTATGCTTATATTATTGTGGGCCTTAAGTTTCTTCAGAGTTGTGTGAATTGTTAAAGTGAATCAGAGAGCTCCATTGGAGACACTGGCATTGTACCTATTTAGCCAGCATAGTTCGTTCCACTGTAATATTAAAAACTCAACGGAAGAGCTAAAAACGAGGCTGGAAGTTTCTGATTTCTATCTTTGCTGTTTATCTATTTGACGCTTTTGGTTGCATGATGGTTTTTCAAATTCACCTTAGGAGATAGTTAGTGAGAATGGAGTTTACAGCATTACAGGTAATTCATACATATTTATTTTTCTGCAGATAAATTGTGTCTGATTTTAGTATATCGTGTATAAATTTGTTTGGCAGGATGCACGTTGTTATTATTGCTTTTGGGAATTTTTGTAATAAGGTCATGAATTTTTCACCTGAAAAAAATCACAGTTTCACTCTATTAGAGTTTAGAAGGCCCTTTTAGAGGCCCTTCCAACTGGAAATGTAGGAAGCTTTTTGTAGGCTCTATGACCTAGATTTTAAGTTTGATATCTCAGTCTGAGGAATTAGACTGCTCCGGTTGCAAAGACTTGCATTTCCCTTTTTTCCCCAGTTATCCTTTAACCAGGATTTACCTGACGTTTCTGAACCCTGAGTTATTGCTAAATGAGGTAGAGTATTGTTCTCCCAGCTTGTATTGGTGCAAAAGGGGCCTGGTTTATGTTTTCTGACTTAATTTTTCATCTAAAGATCTATTTAGGAAACACTTATCTTGACTTAAGGAAAACTACTTTAAATTCTGTTGGATGAAGATGGTGAATATATTTTAAATAAACAATTTTTTTTTGTACTGTACATTTTAGGGTTATGGTTTTTATTTTTCTTTTAAAAGAGAAGGGAGGGGGCTTCCCTGGTGGTACAGTGGTTGAGAGTCCGCCTGCCGATGCAGGGGACACGGGTTCGTGCCCCGGTCCGGGAGGATCCCACATGCCGCGGAGTGGCTGGGCCCGTGAGCCACGGCCGCTGAGCCTGCGTGTCTGGAGCCTGTGCTCCGCAAAGGGAGAGGCCACAACAGTGAGAGGCCCACATACCGCAAAAAAAAAAAAAAAAATAGAAGGGAGGACTTTTGGGATATGTTGTACAATTTCAGATGCGGTGTTACTTTTGTTTTTTCTTTTTTTATTTTTAAATTGAAGTATAGTTGATTTACAATGTTACATTAATTTCTGCTATACAGTGAAGTGATTCAGTTATACATATATATACATTCTTTTTTTTAATATTCTTTTCCATTGTGGTTTATCACAGGATACTGAATATAGTTCTCTGCGCTATACAGTAGGACCTTGTTGTTTATCCATTCTATGTATAAAAGGTACATCTGCTCACCCCAACCTCCCACTCCGTTCCTCCCCCAACTCCCTCCCCCTTGGCAACCACCAGTCTGTTCGCTATGTCTGTGAGTCTGTTTCTGTTCATTTCTGTCATATTTTAGATTCCACTTTTAAGTGATATCACATGGTATTTGTCTTTCTCTTTCGAATTTACTTAGTATGATAATCTCTAGTTGCATCCATGTTGCTACAAATGGCATTATTTCATTCTTTTTTTATGGCTGAGTAATATTCCACTGTATATATGTACCACATCTTCTTTATCCATTCATCTGTCGACGGACACATAGGTTGTTTCCATGTCTTGGCTATTGTGAAGAATGCTGCTATGAACATAGGGGTGCATGTATCTTTTTGAACTAGAGTTTTGTCTGGTTATATGCCCAGGAGTAGGATTGCTGGATCATACGGTAGTTCTATTTTTTAGTTTTCTGAGGAAGCTCCACACTGTTCTCCATAGCAGCTGCACCAACTTACATTCCCATCAACAGTGTAGGAGGGTTCCCTTTGCTCCATACCCTCTCCAGCATTTGTTATTTGTAGACTTTTTAATGATGGCCATTCTGACTGGTGTGAGGTGCTACCTCATTGTAGTTTTGATTTGTATCAAATGCAGTGTTAATTGTCCCTTCCCCCTTCCTCCATTTCTTTATACTAAGATTTACTTCCCTGGTCATTGACACTTCTGACACTTCATATTTTGGGTATATCAACTTGACCAATGGTCAGGTACCACACAGTGGGAGTGAGCATGGCAGAATTCCCAGGACGGGTGGGACAGTAGAATCAATAGAAAGTATACAGTTGTTTCATTGTCTGTTCTCCATGTGGTTGAGAGGTTAGTGAATGACAAGTGTGCACGTGTGTGTGTGTGTTTATGCACGTCTGTATACATATGTTTAAG